TCCAGCTCACAATTAGGAGCTATTGGTAAAGGCTTTGCCTTGAAAAACTCATTGTAACTGTAATAGGTAAGATTGTCATTTTGGAAGAGTCATTTTGTTAGGAAATAACACATTTCCTGCAGTAACTACTTCCCTGGTCAAAAAGCTTCATGCCCAAGCAGTGTCTTGCTTTCATTTTCTTGTCCTTGATCCTCAGCTCATGGATATCAGCATCTCTTTAAAGAAGTCCATAGAGGTACATCTGTGTATGTGAGCTATAGATCTGGTCCCAGTCTCAGTCTATATTCTGAACAAGTTTCAGAGAGATTCTTGGCAAATGAAGAAGGGAAATACAAGTCTTTTTGTACCCTGAAATTTCCCAGGAATAAAACAAATGCACAGTCAAAGCTATTCAAATGACGTTTCGGGAGATCAGTCATAGACTCTGTTAATACATTTCTTTTTAAACAGATGGAGCTTGCAAATTTACTTTGGGCTTATAGGCTAACCTGTTCTGTTGCCATCATGGCCAGACCTGATTTCTGACACAAGACCCAGCTCTGTGTTCACAGGAGTCTCCATGCTGAAATGGATAGGATCTGCCCAACATAGACAGGGCATCATTAGGATAACTTAGTAAGAATCTTCTAAAGGATGTATCAGCTCTTGAAGCCACATCGCGTGCACATTACAGTGAGTCAGGCATCTCCCCACCAAAAGTCAGATGAGAATCAAGCAGAGGGTCTCACATCCAGACTCACATAAAGCAGTGCCATACCCTGGGGAAAGCCTTGCTGAAATCAGTGTCACTCAGCAAAGCTCTGCACAGCACAGTCCAGTCCAGAGCGTTTATAGCTAAGGGCTGTAGCTGCAAGCTTCAGCCTGATTCCCCACTGCACAGGAGGGACAGTAAGGTACAAGTATTCCCACTTTTAAGGTGCTTGCCTGAAGGGTTTTATTTCTGTAAAAGCAAATGACTGTCCCTCATCTTCTTGTATTGCTGGAGCAGAAAATGCCTCTGCAATTGTGATTTTCTTTTGACTGTGTATTTGGTGGCCCTGATACACCCACCTCAATATAGGCTTTGTTTGCTTGTGCACAAGGATCATTTACAGGCAGTGAGTAAAGAGCAGTGATGCTGCTGAGGCTGTCCAAGGAGCCTGGCAAACTGACTTCAGCTGCTTCCCCCAGGTTACATGTCCTTCCCTGTCCAGTTCTGCTCATGACCCAGTGTGGTGCATGCCTGCAGAGAGCTGCGACTGGGCTAGGACCCAGTTACTTCTCATTTCTGCTTTCTCTTTGCTTCCAGTTCACGTACATCACCATCACCAACATGGGTGAAATAAGCCTGTGGTCCATGGCAGAGTTACAGAGGCTGGAGCTCTGTTTGTGCATCAACACCACCACTGTCAGGTGCATCCTGGCTGCAGGCGTTTATTCCAGGTGATGCTGTAAAGGGCAGAAACAAGATTCCAAGCCTTGCACACAGGGTCTGCAGCACTGGGATTGTGGAAGCTCTCACAAACCAAGCTGACCTGCAGGAATAAGCCTAAACAAGAGTAAGCCATAATGATCACAGCTCTTTGAAAACCTCTGTTTCATTAGAGAGACTTTAATAGCTTTATAAAATCAGGAAAGTATTTATTATAACAATTTAGAGATGGGAACATAAAGACTGAGAGGTAGTGGCTGGGCCAGTCAGATGCTCCTTGAGATCCGGGTGTGCTTTGTTGCTAAGGGGCCAGCAAAGGGTGACTGCGCATGTCTCGGGCTGAACATGTACACATTAAAGCAACCACAGACAGGGGGGGCATGTGAAAATGTTGCCCATGACCTCCTGAGGGTCCCCCAGGAAACCAGTGGCATTTTATTCATCATCCAGAGACAAAGACGAACACAGATTAAGAACTCACTTGTGCAAGAAGCTGGGTAACTGCAGTCCAAGGGAAGGGGCTGACGTGGCTCTGCTCTTCCTCACTGTGCTCACCCAGGAGCTCCCATCCAGGGAGTCAAATTGCTGCACAATGGCACAGAGCAGCACAGGAACTTGCCTACAGGAGCAGAGCGTGCCACAGCTTTCCATCAGATCCATTTGGGAGGATTATGGCTCCGTTCTGCCCATCTGACTTAGCACAGCAAGGCTGGGAGTATGACAATAATTTGCTTATCTACTGAAAGGTCTCCTGTGCATCCTTAGGAAATAGCTGGCCCTGACCACTGCTGGTGGGGAGGCAACGAATTTGACATGCTTTGGGGAAATCAGAATAGTCATTGCTAAGGTCTGTCCTCCCGCAAGCTCCATCCTACCACTCCACATTGTGAACACAGAGGAACAGGAGCAAGTTTAAGTGACTCTAAGACTTCCCATTCATCCTTTAGATTGTGAAAACGCTAGCGACAGCAGGGCTCGTCTGTTGATGTCTGTTTGCAGGGGTTTATTTGTTTGAAAAGGCTAATCAGCTATCAGGATGCAGAGGCAATTGCTTAAATGTAAAGGAAAAGGAAGAAATTGTTCAAAGCTATTCAGATGAGGGAGCATGGTTTGCGTTTTGATGTCGGTGTGCAGCCAACTGACAAATGCTGAGCCACAGTCTGGTGTAAATCCAGATGAATTCCATTAGAATCAACAGACTTGCTTCCAATTTATTCTGATGTAACAGAGAGCATGATATTTCCATTTAGATTTACATTAGATTTGTTTCCTGTTTTCCATAATTCAGTCGCTTTCCATTGTGTACAAAAACAGCTTGGGCCAGATCTTGATCTCATTTGCATTGGATGAAAACAGTTGTTTCAGATGGAGCTACTCTGGATTTCTAATTGCATAAATGAGAGTAGAATCTGGTCTATTCCGAGTGAGAAGTTCCCAGGGCGTTGCCATGTGGGAACACCTCTGCCACAGTGAAGGGATCACGTCTTTGCCATTGATATCAAGGGAGGATTTTCATCTAAGTCCTGTACTGGAGCCCCAAGCTTGACACCTTCACACACACAAGGTGCAGAAGCCCCTCTTCCCTTCAGAAGGTAAGCTAACAACCAAATACCTCCATCATCTCATAACCTAACGTAGAACTACCATGTGTTAGCTTAGAAGAAAGGAGCCGAAGGAGCTCAGCTTTACCTGCCAGAAGTCTCCCTCAAAAGCTATAATGGCCCTGATAGATTTCATTTGACACACACATTGTTTATAACCCAGGTTTCCCATGTTCCGTTCTGCCTCTTCCCTCGAGGCCCTTCCAACTTCCCTTGCTCAGCTGTAATTGGAAACGTTAGGAGCAGTACAATGATTCTCTGGCAGATAAGGCTGTCTGGTTTGGTGGCCATGCTGCTAGCAATACATTGGGTTATTACTAATAACTAAGAGGGTTATTCCCAGCAACATGTGCAATCAAATGGATTTACTCCTTCCCATTGAAGCTGTTTATTTCACTGCTAGCAGGAAAATAAGGCCATTTAGAGTCATTTATGGTAGTTGCAAAGGCTTTTCTGAGTAGCTGTACAAGCTATGTTGCCATAGCTTCTAGGAAGACTTTGAACTCAGCTCATCCATCTGGCTTCAGAACATCTCAACCCTTGTTCCTTGCTGTCCTCTAGAATGGGATATGAAGAGGCATCATTCTCCCTCTGGATCTCAGGTTGTGTAGAGCTCAGCTACCCCTTAAAACACTGGCCTCCTGACTGCCAGCTGTAGTGGTTTATATGTATGGATATTCCACCTCAGTTCTCAAACATGGCTTTTGCTATGAAAACATGCACTTTGAGTCCTTGTTACCCAGAGCCTGGGGAAATGCAAAGATGATAGGCAGTAAAACCAGCTACATCAGCAGCAGATCGCTTTACCTTTGCAAATGAAGACATACCTGTTCCATTTGCATTTGAAGGACTCCTGTGTGTTTAATCCCACTGGAACTTTACATTCCTTTACAGATTTAGGTATTTCTCTTCATTTACAACATTTAGCACCAAACATGGGAAGACAACAATGCCAAGAACAGCCACGAGGACACCAATGCCACCACCACGCTTCCAAGGCTGTCAGTATGAAGAGCACATGATGTGGCAGATCGGGATGCCAGCATCTCTCTGCTTCCCTCCCCACAGCATCTCAGCCCTGTGCAGAAAGACTGGAAATCACCCCATGGCTTTGGCCTGCGGTACATAAACCAGAGCCTGGAAAAAACAAGGCAATCATCAAATTCCCAGTGTAGGCGGCAATCTGTCTGTTGGGTTTGCACACAGACACACTACCAGAGCTCCGCAGCTCTCGCCTATAAAACACAAAGGCACACCAGGTTCTCTTCTGGCTGATGCTTCCCAGCCAGCAGGAGCTGAGCAGGACCCATCCCATAGTAACAAAAGCTGACAGAAGTGCTTCTTCCTGATGTTGTTCCCCACGGTTTTTATTCCACCATGCGATTTGCATGACAACTGCCTCCTAATTGTCCATTTTAGCAGGCAAAGAGCAATCTGATACAGATTATAACAGGCAAGGTAAAGCAGCAATGTCACCAAATAGGTGGGACCAGCCAAAGGCAGCCTTCCTGGCTCCCCCAGGGTTTTGACACTGGATTATTAAGCAGCTGAGCAGCACTGCCAGGAATTAACGGGAGCTCAAAAAGAGCAGGACAGTGGGAGCCTGCTTAGCCACAAGTGCCAGAAACCCTTTCATCAGGGCTCTCTGATAGCCGTCCTGAAAGCACCTTCGAGGTGACATGGTGCTGCTGTCCTTGATGAAGGGACCCCTTGGAAGTAACGCAATGGCCTAAAGGTCTGAGAAGGGAGCATCAGCCTTGAGAAGGGAGCCCCCGCAATGGCTCTGGGAGCCCCTGGGAGGTAACATTTGGCCTCAGCATCCTGTTGGAGGTAGCACAGCAGAGCCCCCATGGGGCCAGAGCCCCAGGAGGCAGCGTGTGGCCCTGCGCAGAAAACGTGTGGCTGCAAACCAGGAACACCTGGAAGGGAGCACTTCCAGGAGGGAATGCCGTGCAGTAGCCTAAGAGGGGTTAATGTGGCACAGCCCTGTGCAAGGAAATGTGGTGCAGCTGCCATGGACTGGGGAGTGTGTGCAAGTGCTGCTGCGGGAGGGAATCCCATAGTGAAGCAGCCGCAAGGGAGATGTGCCACAGCCTGCTCGAGCCCTGAGAGCTCACCACTGGATTCGCCTGGATATGAAAATCCCTCTGTATTCCCTAGACAGCCAGTGCAGGCTCATTGAGCAGAAGGCAGGGCAGGAAATGCAATGAAGCAGGCGAATTCAAGGCAGACTTCACAGACTACACCGGTTCCCCCATGCCCGCTGGGCAGGACACTGATGTAACTTAACAGAGTAAATTCAGTGCTGAGGAGAGCTGCCAGGCTGATGGCCCTGCAAACTGAAGCACTCCATGCATCCGTGACTGGGGACTGGAGAAGAGCCACTGGAACATGCCCCAGCCTGAGCTGCCTTGCTGAAGCACAGCAGCTGCTGGAGATGGCCTGCCTGGGCTTGTCTTGTGATGCTGGAGAGAAGGAGCTGGCTGGGGGAGCCTGGCTGCAGCTCCAAGGTGGAGGTGGAGTGCAGTGCTGTTGGTAATCCTGCCCGGGATGCCCCATCAACAGCAGGATCCCAAAGATGAAGAAGAAATCCCATCCACAGTACAGCATGTGAAGTTGCAGATGTCTCCATCTCAGAATACACTGAGGCTGGCACGCAGACAGGAGCTCAAGCACCTTTTAACTTTGGTCTTTGGTCTTGTCCACACCTGCATTCACAGAGAACAAGGGAAACATTCATTTCAGAGCAGTTCTTACCATCAGCATCTTTCCTGGCATTTGGACATACACCATCGCCTCTGTACTCTGCAGTCTAAAGATGGACCTGGATGAGTGAGGAGAGACAGGACATATCAAATAAGAGGTCTATTTTGCCACCTAAACCTGTGTCCACAAGAGGATTCCAAGCATGCCTCTGCTCATTTGGAGACCTGACCTTTGTGTTGGCCAGACTCAGGTAAAGCCCAAATGCCTAAATTGCATTGTAAAGAGGAGCTGTCACCTCTTCTGAGAGTGTGGTGTGAAGCGTTTCGCAAGCACTGAGGGTACCTGAAACTAAGGAGGAAGAGGCAGCTGAGGAAGGACAGGCAGTAGAAGAGGCCATTTAGAGCAAGTGAGTACCAGAGGTTGTCCCACTGACTTCCCAGGCCCAATCCTATCTGCAAAGCATGAAACAGTCTCTTGAAGGGAAACAACAACATAACACAGTCAAGCGAAGGATGTCAGTTCTTGTTCCTCAGGGCATTGCCTCTTTTCTCATATACCCTGTATTGGGTTATGGCACAGAGGGAAAAAGAACTACCTCAAATAGATCCAGTGAGTTTTACCTCTCTTTATGCTGTACCTGTGGCTGTTTCCACGTGGTTTGCCTTTTTCCTTTCTCCTTCTTTTTCCCCTATGATAAGATCCATCAGTTGAGGGACAGCAACCAAGCCAGCTCCTCCTGCTGGGAGGAAAGGCCACAACTGCACTTAGAATAAGAGATCGTCAGGCAGATTGGAAGTGTCAATCAGGGCCTATCTCTGAAAAAAGCATTAGTCCAGGCAGCTCCCCCCCCCCCAGTTAACATACCTCTTACCACATATTCCCTGAGCTCAAAAAGCCTTCCAGAGCTGCCAAATACAGGGAGGAGGTCTTAGAGAAGACACCAGACCTAATTCAGCTCGGGTCATTTTGCCTTTTGCTGTGATTGGCAGCTCCAGAGAAGTAAATCCTGGTCTCCCAGGCTTTGTGAGGCAAACCAGGCCATTTACTAGGAGAGGGGCATAGGTTTAGGTCTGTTGCTGAGTGGGTCCCATCCTCAGTGGCACGCCTCCGCTTTAATAATGCTATTATCATTTTAATTATTATTTATGACTGCACCTCGGGCTGCGCCAGGCACTTTCCAAGCACTCGGCAACGTCCTGGCTCTGCTCCAGGAAACTCCTTGTTTCAGGACAGACAAAGGCATGGTCAAGAGGCAGAAATGCTGAGCCAACAGCTCCAGCGCTGCCCACTGGGTGCCTGCCTCACTGGGTGACCTTGGGAAGGCACATTCCTCCTTCCCATGCTTAGTCCCATCCCACTGCATCCATCTCAGTGCTCGGACACAAAGGTCTTCAGCTGTGACTGTGTTCACGTCTTCATCCGTCTTAGAATCTCTTTGTGTGCAAAGCCCAAGGAAGTACGTGGGGAAATAGTTTTGTTCCTAGGGAAAAAAAAAAAAAAGCAATGGGAAAGGAGAAGCTCCCATTTTTCCAAAGCATTTCTTCAGATGCTTTTGGTGGAAATAAAAAGAATCAAATGTCTTCTCATTGCCAAAACCAAGTCCAGAGAGGCACATTTTTCACTTGAAAACCAGAAAGTGCAGGTTTGGGGGCACTGGGAAGACATTTGCTGGTCATTAAAATTCCCTGTAGTTGTTAGAGAAACACCCATTTTGTCCTGAAAATAAGATTGAACCTAAAAATCGAGTTGTTCTGTGAGCAGGGAACTGGTGAAACCTGTTCTCCTCTGATTTGTGTGTTACAACTGCTTCTTATTTCCTCCTCTCTTGGTGCTCCAAGCTCACTGTAACATCCCCAGGGCACCCGTATCCCTTCCAGACCTCCCCAGCAAAGCTCTTCCAACAGCTTCTTGCTTTGCAGGCAAGGGGCAGAGAGTACAGGAGCTGGTCTGAAGCTAGACAGGTACCAACTGACCAGCCAGTATCTAAATGCCAGCTGGTCACTTGGCTGCTGCATCTCAAAACAGGCAGGGAGCAAGAGGTGTAGTTCCCTTTCCTTCAGGAGGATATTAACTCCAATGGCTCTCTTCTACCCAGCTGCTGGGTTTTAATGAAAATTGCAAGAATCTTGGCTCTGTGAGACCTGTCTTTCCAACTTGGTTGAATCAGGTCAACTGGTTCAGAAGTTACTGGAGCAGGGGGACTGGCAACACAAGGATGCTCTTTGCCTTATAAACCCTGGCTCAAAAATAAGGCAGTTTTGGTGTATAATAGGTCCCTAATGTCAGGTGAGGTGGTTGCCATTAACAATGTCTCTGTCCTTTGGATACATAAAGGCTGTGAAGCTCCAGGACTGTCTATAGTGTTCTTACCATTCATTTGCTGTACAGAACCTTCAGCCTAGAAATGAGGGCCCTGCTGTACAGGAGCCGGACAGTCCCTAACCCGAGCTACAACTGGATGGACAGAGAGTAGAAGAAAGAGAAGAATAAATTATCTCAGACTTACACATAGGAAGACAAAGGGCAAGATCAGCAACTTACTGAGGAATCGCCGTTGGGAGGGTCGGAAGGAGGCTCACATGTCCCAAGTCCCCATCTCGGGCCCTAAGCAAAGTCCACCTCTGCTCCCTCTCGCTTCATCACCCAGGCAGAAGTCGCCCTTTGACGGGCATCTCTCTCTGATTCACTGCCCTCGGGAGCTGAGTCAGTCTTGCCCGCGCTTCTTTGGCAGCTGGGAGCGCATGAGGAAACGTTATTTGTTGTTCTGTTTGGGTTCGTTATTCATGGGCATTATTCACTGCTGAAAACACTGGGAGCTGCTTCTGAACACTCCTGGAGCCGGCGTGCGGGGAGGGACTTACCGGTGGTGGGGCTGCCTTTCCGTGGCCAAGCTCTCTTCCATCTGCTTTCCTTCAGCCCTTGTCATGCTCCCATCTCTCATGGCTTCGGCTGTGCTCTTTGGCATTACCTGGGTAAGAAAGAGGCAAACACTTGGAGCACCACAGACATGCAATCAGAAATGGCATTTCGCTACAGAGGCACTGACCCTGGCATGGGGAGAGGATAAATCTGATCCTCTGGGTGTTTTTCCAGTCACACTGTAGAGCTCCCTGAAGGGTTCCAGACCTCTTTATCCTGCTGCAAAAGATGCCTTCACCCTCCTTCAGATAACCTGCAACAGTCTGGTAACCTTCCTCCCATAAGCAAGGCTCTCCCTCGGTAGCTCATGTTCTTGGAAATCCATTTTGCATCTTAGAATAAGGGCAGCCTCTAGCTTTAGCAGCACTTTGAGGATGTTTGCAGTGAGACAGAGCTTGAATTACTCAAGATAGACTCACCCCCATGCATCAGCACTTAAACCATGGATTTCTGGGGTTATGGTTCCAAAAGATTCTGTAACAGGACTACAGACCTTGCATAGAAGACCAAAGCTGACCAGCAGTAGGACTACTTACTTATCTTAAGACCCTTAGAAACCATCTAGGGCTACCCCCTGCAGTCTGCAGAACACAGGCTGAAGCTCTTGAGCGTTTCTGGGGGTACCTCTTCAGGGCTGGCATTTGCTTAGAGAGCTCACATCATGGCTTGGACTGCAACCAAGCTACTTGTGGCCTGTAGGCAGCAGCTCTCCCAGCAGCCTCCCCATCCAGCCAAGCCAGAAAGTGCAGGGCTGAGTCTTCTGACTCCTGTGAATTGATTGCTCCTTGCAATTATGCAGACAAGAAACTGAGCCTGTGCTGCAAATGTGTCATCAGGGCTTAGGTTCGCAGTCTATGAGGTGGGGGTTCCATCAGGTCCTAGCAAAGGATGCTACGGGTCTACTTAGGCTGATGCCAGTCACTGGTTGGGTTTTCTGCAAGACCCAGAACAGGATTCATATTCCAGCACTTGCCTCCTCACTTGGAAGTTCGGGGGGCTGTAATAGTGAAGGATTTGCTGTGAACCCACCCTAGGGCACATGTGCCCATCCATCACCAGGACGCAGGAGAGGGTATCTCTCCCAGCCAGGCAAACTCCCCACTGGTAGGAATCAGCACAACAACAGGAAGTTATGCCACATCACTCCAGGAAAGAATCTAGTTTAGGATGTACTTTTCCATTCATTAATTCTTTGCCTAGAGCCAAGACAAACCCCCCCATGGGACATATTAGCTCAGTTTTATCTACTGCAATCCCATGCAACTGCACAGGGGAGGAATTCCGAACCTACAGACCATGTTCTCTGCCGATGTGATGCTCTGCTGTTGTTAAATGAGCTTTTTGGGCTGAACAGTAAGTAACTGAGCTAAATACAGGCGTCATTTCCTGGCCTGTACACTGCAGGAGCTCTGCAGAGTAACTGCACTGGTGCTTCCAGAACTCCACAATCACTTAACTGATTCCAAGGAGTTTACAGCAGCAGAGAGCTTGGCCTGTGAGTAATATGCATGAAAAGTACCTTCAGCCACAGAGATGCAGCCAGTCTCCTACCTGGCTGTTGCCTAAGTAACACATCTCGAAGAGGATGCTTTTTAAGTCAGTGTTATTTATCCAGTAGGTGGAAGGAGCCTGTTAAAGCCACACCAGGTTAACATATGTCTAAGCATGTAGTGAGGGACTTAATGAGTTCTCCCTGAGAAAAGAGACTCCCAGTGCTATTTAAAGGATCATTATCCCACTGTGAGGTGTCCTGGAGCCTGCTGCTAGGCCTAAGCTTAACAGGGCAAGTCTGTAGTAGTTGGATGGGAGCAAAGAAACCTCCCTTCCATGCTGTGGAATAATTGCTGAGCAACCCTGGGAGCTGCAAGGTCAGTGCAAGGAGCAGCAGCACAGAACCACACTGAAACCCAGTGCAAGGGGCTTAACTCATGCTGGGGCTGTAACGTTGGCTTTCAGGGTCAAGCTGTGCAGATCCCATTATTGGTCTGGTCTCTAGAGATCCAACATCATGTGCTGTGCTTGGTGACTGCTTCTCAGGCAAGTCCAGTGGGAGTAAGAAGGGGGGACAGGAGAGTGGAGTAATATAAGCCTGGAGTGAGCCACTGCCAAATGTCTGTGTCAAGCATTAACCCTCATGTCATCACAGGAGCCAAATGCAGGCAGCAGTTTCTTAGCATGAGCTAAACCGGACCTTACACAAGTGGCTCAGTCACAGCTTTCATTTATGAGGCCAAAAATCAGAGACTGGAAACTGAACGCCAATAAGGGAATTAGCTGGGTTCCCCAAAGGCGGATGGATGGGTTTGCTGCTGTGTCGGCTCCTTGAATGGAAGGAGAACCAGGCTGCATAGCCTCTGAAGGATGAAACGGGGTCCTGAGCATATTAAAGCTTGTAGAAGCACTGGCACCCAGTGCCACACTGAGGCTGGGTGGCCAAGGAGGGTGCATCCTGGAGAGGCTTATCTTGACCTTAGAGTGTCTCATATAGCATGGGGGGCCTTGGTTTGCTCTGGAAGCTGTCAGGAGCTGCTCCTAGATGAGTTGTTATGGTAACTGAGGTAGTGCCCTGAGAGAGATGTTTTCAGGTGGCTCCAGGGCAGAAAATCAACACCAATAGATTCCAGATAATAGACTTCTGCTTAACCCACTGCTGCCATCTACTTTATTTAACCTATTCACCAATGACTTGCTGAACTCCATTCACTGGGCAAGCCATATGTGACAACAGTAGCTGCTTGGCTCCAATGAACCCCGGCTTCCAAAAGACTGAGGACATCCCATGTGCTGTAGCTGAGTGGCCAATGTCTTGGCCCACAAGGAACATGGTAGCTCCTGAAATGCATCTGGATTTGGCCAGAAGTGCAGTGCAGTACTCCAGCACTGTAACAGAGAGCAGCCCAGGCACCACTTTATTACTACAGACCTTGTCTGACTGCTTGAGGTGAATGCACAAGAAAGGAGCCTGAAACAAGTGCAAAGGCTCTGCTGATGTGCTTGTGCTTATACCACATCCAAATCCAACTGGAGCTGTACGTCCTTAGGAGCAGCCAGCGACAGGCACACAGCATGTCTAGGATTGCTCTTGGATCACCCATTTACATCCTGTGCTCATGGGTTAAGCAGTGGATTCACCAGCATCCCTCCCCCTAACACTGAGCATCACAACGGAGCCAAGGGATTATCAATAAGGAGGAGCTGCTGCCACCCACCCGCTCTCCAGCGCTGCTGCCGGGTGCCTGCTGAGAGGCCCCTTTGGTTGGTGCTCCCCAGCTCACAGCCAGGATTGGGGAAGAGCCAGGTGAGTTTCAGGAGCTCCCACACCACCACCACCAGACCAGCCCAGCAGCTCCCTGGCTCTGGGGCCCTGCATCACCTCCAGAGCGAGCCAAACAGGTTCTGCCGTGGCGTGGTCCAGAGTGCAGCATTTGGGAGAGCCTGCTGCGGGCCCTCCTGGATGCTCCTGCATCTCTGCAGGGTGGCCGCTCTTAGAATCATAGAATGGTTTGGGTTGGAAAGGATCTTAAGGTCATCCAGTTCCAACCCCCCTGCCAAGCTCCAACCCCATCCCACCCAAGGCTTCATCCAACCTGGCCTTGAACACCGCCAGGGATGGAGCATTCACAACCTCCCTGGGCAACACATTTCAGTTCTCATGGTGAGACTCACCAGTGGTCCCCCCCCTTGCATTGGGCACCAATGGTGTGAACATCAGAGCTGGTCCAAGGCCACCGCGCTGAAGGGTTGCTCTCTCTGCTTGTTCCTCCACATTTCAAGTCTTGCCTTGCTTGTTTTACCCACTTATAACCATGTCATTGTAATATGTAGCTCTCTAGGGCTAGAAGCTGTTCTGCAGCATGCTCTTTGCTCAGCTTTGCTCTTTGCAACAGACTTGCAATCTCGAATCAGTGCAGCAGTAATGCGATTAAACAGGCTCTGCACAAGGGGGAATTGCATCCTCAGTGGATGCAATATTCCCAGTTCTGGCCTGCCTGTGTGTTCTCCCAGGGTGAGAGGTCATGTTGACTGAACACCAAAGCGGCTTGCTTGAACTTTTAAACGCTAAGGTCCTAATGAATAGGCAGCATTAGCTGGGATGTGGGTCCCGTTCCTGCCAAGCTGCAGCCTTAAGTGAATTTTTATTACTAAGTTATAAACCCCTGAAAACACAAATGAGAAGTGGAAATGCTGACTTGGCCTTTGCTAAATGCCAATTATCTATAAAGGCATTGGAGGAACAGAGGGATGGAAAATAAGGTCATTTTTATGTTTTCTCTGCTTCAAAGTAAACTCTCCCGTGAGCCCCTCGTAGGAACACACAGCATGCGGAGTGACCATTAATATTTATAGGCACGACACCGAGCTGCAGACCTTGGCCATCAGAGCAACTCCACTTCTGGAATTAATACAGCTCTACTTGGCTGGCACCTTGGTACGAAAGAGTAAGTAGGAGACACCAAGATGTTCAGGGAGAACTCAAGGAGCAGATGCTGACCTTTGATGGAGAGCGTCCATACTTCACTGAGTTGGTCAAGTACTAAAACCAACTTAAATCCTCAGGGCTGCTGGGCAAACCCAGCACCGTGTTTTCTATTCCTCTGTGCTCTTATGGCTCCTAAACAATCCCAAGTGGCTACTCCCTTTGTATTCCCCACATTTGCACACTGCTGCCCAGCTGATACAGACCAGTGTGCTCCACAGATACACTTGGAGCAATGTGAATTTATAATACCTAAGGATCTGGCTGAATAATGTTAAGGCTCAAAATGGTGCTGCAATCTCAGTTGCAACGCAGCACACACCACCTTCCACCTCTGTTTCCTAACTCCCAATTGAAGTGGTGGGGTGAGCCATCTAAAAACCAGCCCCCTGCATGCTGGGGATGTGATGGGGTGCTGTCACAGAGGCTGTGCTCACCCAGGACTAGGTACCAAGCAGGATGATGACTACAAAGCCACATAAAAGCGTGTCTCAGACATATCATGGGGACCATGATACAATGACAGCAAGTGGGAAGGCGCATCTGTCAAAAGAGCACCAATCTGTGCCTTTCAACTGAGTCCCTCCAAATCCTTTCTTACTCTCAAAATTCAGGCTGCAGGATGTAGGAAAGCAAACAGTGGAAACAACAACAAATAGAAATGCTCCTGCTATTAAAAACAAGGTGAAAAGGAGGAGCTGAGCCAAGTTAATCAGAGGGCTGAAATGAGTTGTTGGAGAAAGGGGTCACGGGTGACTTGGGGTTTGCAGTTAGCTGAGCGGTGTGAAATCTCTTGTGTCTGGCTGAGCTCTGAAAGGAAATGCTTTATTAAATCTTCTTTGTGTGAGGTTTCAAGCTGCCTCTGGACTGGAAAATAGGACCATTCCAGTACATGGCATATAATCAGGAACTCAAGTCTGGTGCGGGTTTTTCTGCAGAGGAAATTCTGGTCAGCAGAGACACATAACTCAGAGGGCTCAGGATTCAGAAAGCTGAATTAGACACAACGCACCCATGCTCTGCTGTGCACCTCTTCTACCCAGGATCCCCAAACTGCTTCACAGGATTAATCATGCTGGCAGCAACAGCCAGGCAATAGGGCAGACAGCACAGGCAGGCGTAAATCCACCCCACTGAATCTTAACTGGTCCTGTGGGCCAGCGCATCTCAGCTCCATCAGTTCAGCTTTCATCCCCCCGGGAGCACAAGACTTGCCCTGATTTATTGATCTCCTTTGCACTGGATCTCCTGGAAGTTTCCAGCCTCACCCTGGCCACTTTTGGGACGCTGCAGCCTCTTTCTGCCTCTGTCCAGCACCCTCTGTAAGGCGGCACTCACAGCTCTTCCCTGGCAAAGCAGGACTGGGCCACCCCACACTGCTCACAGAAAGTGTCTGCTAGGAAGAAATGGATGGAGCCAGGCTCAACACCACACAACGAGGACAAGGCAGAGGCTCCCAGAGCACTCCACCTTTGTGTCACACAACCTCCTTTGCCCTTTTGCACCTCTTGGCTTTCCCTCTCTGCTTGGCCACATAGTACAAAGTGAGTCCTGATCAGAGACAGGCCAGCAGCACCACCAGACTTCCTCCTCCTCTAACCCCCTTATTTCACACCCCAGCATGTCCAGATATAAAGAGCCGTGAATCTCAGTCCACCTGCTGGCAATGGCAGGGTTTGAGTTCCTGATCTGCTTTCTGCAGACCCCAACAGGGAAGAGCCCCGAGTGGCTCAGGTACACAGAGCATTGCCCTTCCTTCGCACCGCCCCTGCTGCAGATGAGCTCCTTGCCTACCTGTTGTTGCTGACAAGAAGCAGGACGGAGCCGTTCTGGATATTGGCTTCTTTGAGAGTCTCGTGCTCCTCGAGCTGCCTGGAGTTGTAATAAAATGTCTTCTTCCAGGAAGTGACGCCCTCCCGGACCAAGTGAGCCCGTAGGTCCATCACCGTGTCCCTGGGCTTGACCGTCAGGGGCATCATCAGGTCCTCATCGGCCAGGTGCACCTTAATGTGGTACCTCTTCCAGCGGGAAAGGCTCCTTCGCAGCGTGTCCATCCTCTCCAGCTCGCCAGGGCCAGTGTGGCAGAGAGGAGCATCCGGCTGGGAGGTGGTAAAGCAGGGATGTGGCTCTCAAGAGGCTGTCTGCTGGGAACAGCTTCAAGCGTCCTGCCAAACCTGTTCCTCCCAGTTGCCGTGCCGCATGCTTCACATTCCAGGGAAGAGCTCACCTGGCTCCAAGAGCCTGCTGGCTGGGAAACGTCTCCATGACTCATTTCCACACACCCCTAAATCCCATCGTAATTACAACGTCTTCACAAAGTGCGCTTCATTCCAAGGGCTCGCAGAGGACTTTAAAGCTGGATCTCCACAGCCATCCGAAACGTGGGTGCATGTGAGAAATGAATGGGTTCAGTAACCTCCTGTTTCCTTCTCTAAAGAGCTGCCAGCTGTGGAGTAGATCAGTTTCACAAAGGAGGCGTGGAGGAACCTCACAGCTATTTAACAAGGCCATTTTAATGAAGAACAGTACTCTGCATAGTGAAAAATTCCTCATGGATGAGCACCAGAGCACCCTGAAGGAGACACAGAGCCTGGTTGGTGTGAACACCCCTCATTAGTGCAGCACAGTTTCCCCCTAGAAGATGTGTTTAGTTATTGCAGGCAAACAGGCTGGGACCCTCCAAAAGTGGTAGTAGGACTCACTCGTTGCTCATGATGCCATCAGATATCTAATACTGACTCACACGTGCTCCTCACTGGTTCATCATCTTGATTTCCTCTTCCTTTCAGATCTCTGCCTAATTGAAGGGCTGATCACATCCTGCTCTGCCATGTGAGCAGGAGCAGCATCACGGGGCTGCAGGCTACTGGAGGCAACCAGGAGGCAACAGAAGCCCCAGAACACTGAGAGGGACAAGGGATGCTTTGGTAAATCCAATACCTCCAAACGAAAGGAAGTGAGTGATGCTGGCCATAGGAGCCGGTTGTGGTGGACTGGTCCTGCAAGGCAGACTCAAGCAGTCACCAGATGATGCTTCAGAGCAAACATCCTCAAGATAAGGAAGTCTCTTCTTGTCTCATTTTTCTGTCTTTTTCTCAAAAAGATCAAGTCACCTCTTATCTTGTAGGTAATTTCCTACAGGCCGTATTACAGGAGTTAATTCCCTCGTCCATTCTTCTCAACACAGACCGGTATTTTTAGATCAAAGTACTGCAAGAGAGTTGACTTCAGAGCCTGCTCTTCACTAAAAAGGGGCTGCTCTTCCCATTAGATAACAAAAGAGTCAGATTTTCAGATATGGCAGCGGGCAGCTCCTATTGAGAAACAGAGAGGGGTCCACTCTCCCATTGAAAACAAGGTGTCCACCGCATCTTCACACCTCTCTTCTTTTTCCCTACCCAGCACACTACGTCTTTGCCAAGAACAGTACCTTCAGCTACCCCACAGGCAATGGAGATTCCCCCATGCATGGAGAAGGACTGAAGCTTCTGCTAGCAACATTTTGCTTCCAGACTGAGTAAAGGTAGGAACATTCAGCTGGGGTCTGGGATGCTGGGGTCCTCCCTCTGCCACTGCGTTGTTGCGAAGGTTTGACATGAGTCAGGGCATGCCTTCGTGCTTCTGTTTGCTCATCTCATGAGTGCTGCACGGTGTAACACGTGTCCAGTAAGTGCCTTGTGGGAAACAGGAAGAGCTTTTAGCCCAGTCATGGTCTGGAAGCATTTAAGAATGCCTGGATCTATGGATGTGTTGATAATGGGGAAGACAGAACACCACCCCTATTAGAGAAGGGGAAACTGAGGCACAGAGTGGTGCAAAGCTGTTATTGCAAAGGAGTGTCAAAAGTTAGGCTCTGATCCCCGTATGTAGGCATCTCAGTGATGGGTCTGACTTTCAGAGACCTGGGGCCTGGTGCATCCTTCTCCATTGGGGTGACATTCACTTGGGGAACCACAAATCATCCCTGGTGTAAAGCCAGAGTCCCGGGGGGGTAAAGAGACTGATCCAACTCCCACTGCCATCCAAGGGCAGACTCTCATTGACGGCAGCCAGAAGTGGATCAGGCCCCAGACACACCGAGGTCTGATCTGTTGGCTCTGGCCACCAGACTTCGCCCGGTGAGTGCCAAGGGAAGCATAAGGCATTCTCATCACAGCAGAGTCTGTCTGGTGTCAACGAGTCCACCAGCTCCATCCTTCCAGCACACGCAGCAGCCCGACAGCTGCCAGGTACCTCCCTCAGACACCTTTCAGACAGCTCCTGGTTATTTTTAGGCCAGCTCTTTCCAGGCAAGGCTCAGATGTGCATCGTGACATGGCAAAGGGGGATGGCGGCTGAGAGAAAACACACGGCTTGGCTTTGCACTGCTTTGCCCCTGATGGGGTTGCACGCTTTTCTCATGCAGCCCCATCCACCCAGACTGGGACCAGTCATTTTATGAAGAGATCATATTCCAGCCTATGAAAGCCAGGATAAGGAGAAGCACATCAGTGAAGTCAGCTTATGAAATATTGAAGCAGTGAAGCCCTCGCTGGAACACGTGAATGTCTAATGCCAGTTCCAATTAATTGTGAATTTTTCATTAAACCATTATTAAAAGCAAGAGGACAGCAGAAATAAGGGAAATTGACTTGGGCAGTATATTAAGTACCTTAGTTTCGCTGGAGGATGTTTTATTATCTGTCCAAAGCAATTATTTCACCAGCTTCTGTTGGTTTGTGGGCTAAACAGAGGTACAGGATAAAGTTCTAGATGTTTTTTCCCCCAGATGATTTTGATTTCCATCCTTAGCCTGTGCCTTGCAGCCTGCTTGGGTGATGTCTCTGGCACGTCACATCTGGAGAACAAGACACGGAGTCAGAGGCCTGAGGATCTGCAATGTGTCACTATGGCATTCTTTACACATCAAATACAAACTTCTTGGCTTAAGCTTTTGCCCATACTGAGGGCAAACAGAAGCAATGCAAATGTTCAGAGAAACATTCATTAGGAAAGCCTGAAAAGCAATTTAAAGCTCAGGTGGGCTCTGATTGCTCTTAGGAGGAGGGGGAGAAATAAAGCAACAGCATTTATAAAACCTTATCTCTGCTTCTGGTCTCAAAGCTTCCTTACTCCATTGACTAGAGCAAAAGAGAAACACCTGCCTAAATTAGGCACCTCATTAAGATGTCTCAAGCTGGTTGAGATGATGCTGGGCCTTGTAATGTCTTCTTATGATGGCAGAATAGAGACGCTCATTTCTCCGGCAGTTTGTTGGGCAGTGGCTGTGTTTTGCCTCTTGCTGAGCTGCTCGCCCTGCAGAGGACAGCAGGGGAGAAGGGGGATGTCGCTCCATAAGGAAATAAAGGGTTCTGTATTTCCTGGTAGCAATCACTGCAACACCCAGGGAAAATTTCACCCCAGTTCCCTGGCAGGGCCTGGAAGTCTTTGAGGAAACCACTCTTTTCCTTGTCTTTCCAGCCAGGAAGATACTTTGCTGTTTCCTGGAGCTCTCTGCTCCCAGCACTTGTGGTCAGCAATACTGAACACTGAGGGCTCTCCTCTGATGTTCCTTTGGGGTGGGTTTGTGTTTGAGAGCAGATAGATGGGAAGGGATGAAATGTGAGAGGTGTTTGCCCTGGACCACACTTACACCTGCAACCAAAGAGAGGCTTTTTGTTAGACTCCCCTAAGCACACCATTCTGCTGGTGGGCATGTTCTGTGCCCCATGATTGTCCCCCTGTTTCATTAGCTGGTGGTGCAGAGGGAAGGCTGCAGTGTTGTAAGCTTGGAGACCCACACTGGGTGCTGGGGAGCACAGGGAGATGTCCACTCACAGAAGTGAATGGCCATGTAGGATGAATCATGAGGTTTGACAGTGATGAGGTCAGAAATCTCCAGTCCAGTGTGCAGCCTGCCACCTAATTCATTCAGTGCCCCAGATACCTCAGGTGATGGCGCAGCTTAAAGTGCCTGTAGTATCCAGTGGCCCCAGCTAGAGCTGTACCAGCGTGTGCCAAGATGAGCAAGGCTTTTCCTATCGCCCAGTGCTTTCCTCCTCCTGAGATGTGCTTGGTTATAAAATGACTGGGCTCACTTTGTATGTCAACTTCCATCTCCAGCAAATGAACAAAGAGCTAATAAATTATTAATAAATGCTTTGAGAAATGGGTAATTAAATGCAAAAGCTTTTTAGAGTCCAATGGGTAAGCACAAAATATGTAAGCTCAAGCGATAACACTTTCTTCTGATATAACTTATCTACAGCATACTGCTCACATCTGTGAGAGTGCTTAGGAATGCTATTAACTTCCTGTGCACCAGGAATAAAGGGAGCCTTTCTATGGTGGAAGAGCACTTCTCCTGGGAATTAGGGCAAAATCCTCATTGTTTAGACTATTTTAAATCCAGAAAAGCTGAAAGGGGCTTGTGTTAACACACACAGGAGGTGAGAGTGATGAGGGAAAGGTGACAGTCTCTGCACTGACCCGGTCCTGTCATCTGCCTGCCAAGCTATAGGGTCCTCTCTCTTCCACTCCATACCTATACAGTCTCCCATCCTTGCCTTGCACAGAGGAAAATGTCCCTGTCATCCTGCCCTGTTCTAGACCACAGTCTGCTGCAGTATCCAAATCAGACTCCAAAAGGCCCAACAACCTGGAGAGCTGCCCAGCATCAATATTGCATTACTGAGAATTGGTCTAGTGTTCGGAATGGGATTTCAATTTAAACAGGCTCCAGAAAACAGCTCTGTATACCCAGCATTGAAGAAGCAAACTTGCCTGGTTTTGGAACAACAAATGGATCTGCAAGTTTGCTGTGCAAAAGTTGGGTGTGAGTTGGTGCCATTTTCTGATGGAAAAGGAAATGTAGAGGGGAAAAAAACCACCCCAGTAACGCACATGTTAAATGAACCAGTCAAGTGCAGACAATGGAAAAGCTGAAAAATGGCTATGGAGGAAAGCATTTTGCAGTGGTAGTTATTCCTCACTGCAGTTCTTTATAGCTTCCCAGATGGGAGATTCATGACCCTCGGAAGAAGCCTGTATCCGCCAGGATCTGGCCCGCAGCAGCCCATGACTCACTCGCCTGCCAGGTTTGGCAATCAGCTGGGAAAGAAGCAAGGCAGCAAAATGGTTGTGGAAAGGGCAGAACAAGAGACAAATTAAATGGTGGAAGAAGAAACCTCTGTGCACAAAGGAGGGCCCCGGATGGAAAGAAGGAGTGAATGCGTCTGCCACTGAGGACTCCAAGGGGCTGGCATCCCAAGCAGGCAGCTCCATCCGTTTGCAGGTGAAACAAATCCAGGATGCCTCAGTGTTAAGAGGTGAGGTCAGCAGACATAGAAGGTCTGAGGCTCTACCAGCCATTCATTCCATCAGCAGCGAGAGGGTTTTCTAGGGGCTCAAGGAAGAAGAGGATTTGTGGATCTACATTGCCATCTAATGGCAAGGAAGAGCTTAAAGCTTCCCCTGTAGCCCGAAACGGGCTGTAATGGCAAAGTGACTGTGAAAGGGATGGTCCATACAGGTGATTGTCTTTAGGTGGAAAAGCAAATCCTTCTCTGCAACTGAATGGTCTGACTGGTGAAGGCGATACATAAACCCAGAGAAGGGAAGGGTAGCCAAGGTCTGGTGCTGATTCTTCCTCTCTTGGCATCCTCTCCGTACCATTCTGCATTAGCCAGGAATTTTAACATGCATATAGGATGAAATTTGCTTTCTTCTGGTGTCCAGTTCAGCATCTCAGGTCTTCAAGACCTGCTGGAAGTTGCAGATAACCAGAATTAGTTAAGAAAAGAGGCGAATTCCCCTTGGATCTAAGCACAGGAAGAGTCGATGGCACCATTTTGCTCACACCGAGCCCAGTGCCTTGTCTTTGTCCATAGTAGTGGATACTGAATGAGAAAGTAGCAGAAAGAGGGTGTTACAAACCATTGCTGCCCTGCTGTGCACTTCACCCTGGGAGACAGCAGAAAAGCAGTTCACTGAGATGTGAGGGATTATGGATTTTGGCATTTAAAAGGAAGCACTAGGAAGAGACAAGCTTGATGTTCACTCCAGTGCCACCTTTGCTACATGATACACTGGATGATGGCGTAGTTTCTGGAACAGAAAATGCACACGAGAGAGGAGACTTAGGAGACACTGACATTAAGAAACCAAAGAAAATTTGCTAAGGGGTTGTCAACAGCTTCTTTCTTCTGCTTTCCAATGTTTCTAGCCTTGACTCATGCAGCTTTGTGTATGAGGAGGAGCTGGAGCTCAGGAAGAGAGGAAGGCGACCAGGAGCTTAGAATGGAGCAGGAGCTGGGGGACAAAATGGGGATATAAAGAGTCTGCTTTTCCCAGATGCTGACACGGGACATGGTGTGGATCCCAGCGAACTTCTGGGCAATATGAAAGGAACAGGGATTGAGAGCATAGAAAACTGAGACCTGCCAGCCTTGAGGCCACAGGTCCCCCAGTGTGGTACAATGCCTGCTGTGACGTGCTTCCATGCAGCATGCTGCCAAAGGAATGAGCCCACTCCAGAACAATCCAGCTTCATTTCCTCCTGGCATTCTCTCCTATTTATGCACCCAACCTGGCCAAGCCTTGCTAGGCTCAAACAATCCCTCTGGAAGAGAAGGAAAACCAAAGGAACTCCGACATCTTGTAAAGCACCTTCCTGCTGCCTGAAAGGAAAAGACAGAAATCAGTGCTTTGGAAGGCTCTTCTTTCTCTCCTGGTTCTCACTGTTTTCCAAGCTAAGAAGAGCCAGAGGCTGTGGGAATGACAGGTTTACCATCACTGGGGCAATACAGTTCAGGTATTTCTCTCCATTTTGTGAAGCAGGGAGGGAAGAAGGGAATGTACCTGCTTGAAGGGCTACACAGGGTGACACGTTCCTTGATGTTCCTTTCTAAATGTGGCTCTGAGTCATTCTACAGAGCTCATGAGAAAAAATTACCTTCCTGCAACAGAAATACAAAGGCAAAAGGGATTTGTTCGGTGTTCACTGCCCCAGCCCTGGCTCTGAGCCTGCAGCAGGAGAGAGGGGCTGGCGAGCTGGGTGAAAGCCACTTCTCCTGCAAGAAGCAGCCGTAGAAACAGCTCGGAACACTCACCTAAGGCTACATGCAGCTGCCTTAGTCCCAGGGAGAGGCGTGCACGGTCTTGTGTCTGCCTCCATCACGCGAGTTCCCACATGTGCCAGGTCAAACGGGGCTAACACAGTCATCCCCCCCTTTGTTTCCTGCTCTACTTGATGAATCTGTAAGGCTGCACCCCAAAACCTGCTCCTTCTGACACAGAGCTGCAGATAGCACACATGTACCCCTCGTGGTGTGCATTGCCCCAAGGAAAGCCAATGGAGGTCATCACGGCTGCGTGGCACTGGCTGGTAGATGGGGCACTGGGACCCCGGGTGCTTCCTCAAGCACCCCAGCACCGGTCTGCGGTCACCAGCACCAACCCAAGCTCCGACCTGGGCTCTCAGCATCAGCCCAAATCACTGCAGCAACCCACTGCCCTCGGCCAGGGCTGAGCCAGCAAGCTCATGGGCAAGGAGGGCAAGGGGAAGTGCACGCCATGATGGGGGTTAATGTAGTTTATTCGGGTTTAGTGCCGTTTCTCCACGTGCAGCAGCACGGTTAATTTAGCACCGCACTCCTATGCCTTAAACCTGCTCCCGGGCTCAGGACCTGCCTGTTCTTATCCTTCACTGCTCAGACCATTGGAATTGGACACAAAATGCCCATCAGGCCACCTTGTTGCAGCAGTGCCTGCGGAGGGGAGGCAAACACCGTGATTTCTGGGGGATAAAGCACATTTAATGATGCTCAGTGTGTCGAGGACCCCCTTCCCAGAGAACACCCAACCTGCGGCTGTTAAAAACAACGATCACTGTTTTATAAAGGGGGCAGGGAGGAGCTGGCCGCTGAACCGGGGGGGATTTAATTGCCGTTAATTACTGATGGAGGTACCGGAGGTGTCGGAGGACAAGCGGCGGCACGGCGGGACGATCGCGCACAGCCTCCTGGGAGTTGTAGTCCTAAGGCGCGCCGCCATCTTGGTGCTGCCCCTGCACAGCCCCGGGGGGCGCTCCCCGGCAGCCATCTTGGGGGGGGGAAGCGCTGTGTCAGGGAGCGGCTGGGGCGGAGGGTTTGGGTTTAGGGTGAACGTTGTTTAGATGTTGGCTCGAAACCGCTTTAAATCCCTCACAAAAGGCAGCCTGAGCAGCCTCGGGAGTGCTTTGACAGGCCTGGGGGTGCTTTGATTGTGGTTTGTGCAGGTTGTTCAGGGCCAGGTTGGACGGGGCCTGCTCTAGTGGAAGGTGTCTGGAGGAGCTTTAAGGGCCCTTCCAACCCAAACCACTCCGTGATTCTATAAGGGAGTCTTGTGCCTCTGGTACCTCCTCATGATGTGGGCAGGGAATTTGGGCTGCAGAGAGCAGAGCAGAAGCAGGAAAGAAGGGATGACAGGGTTAATGGGGCCTGAATTCAGGAAGGAAGGGGAGGAATACGAGGGCATGCGGGTCCGGGGCAGGAAAGGCAACAAGAGCTTTCCTCATGCACTGGGAAGGGAAGGTGCCCTTGCTGCAGTCAGGACAAAGCAGGTACCGGGCTGGGAAGCTAAGCAGGAGCATATGAAGGGATGGGAGAGGGCAGCAGGGGGCATGGGGATGTGGTCAATAGGACTGCAAAGCAACCAGGGCTTGTCCCGACGCCATTGATGCCCTTGGTGGTGTCCTCTGTGGAGCTGCTCCTGATGCTCTTCCCAGAGCCTGCTCTTGCGTTGCCTGATAGAAGGTGACTCCTTCATGCAGCAGAAGGAATAATGGATGGTGCTCATCAGGCTGCGGCTCCAGGTGTGTCATTGGGTTTCCTAAGGGTTTAGTGAGTGAAATTGCAAAGACGGGCACTCAGACTCGCTGACTGCCTTTGAGCCTGAGCTCAGTATCTGAATCTGACTCTGTTATGTATTTATACCATTACAGATATAGCTAGTTCCTTAACAGCAGTGCTGATTTTCACAGGAAAAGGAGAAAGCACATGCACAAATCCTGCTGTCTCATCACACAGCCTGCATGTTTCGAACATAAATGCATGTATTCATGTTGGAGTAATCCAAAAAGATCTTGTCCTTCAGAGTCCTATGCCATTATTATAAGAAGCCAGGCCATCTCCATAGATCTCTTGGGCTGTTTCACTGCTCTGCAAACACGGAGGGGTGCTAATAAGCTTTCTTTCAAGCATGTGTTCAGATGTCAACACTTTCGCTTCTGTCAGAAGCTTAAAAATGGAAACAGTTTTCTCTTTAAGAAAACAGGACCCAAATAAGGAGATGATGGAGTGGTGAAGATTCCTCTAGCGAGTCTGTTCCAGCTCATTCCTTAGAAAGGCTGTGTGTGAAAGCTCAGAGAAGGGGCCAGTAGATCTGGGCTTTGTCCAGGGGTCCCTGGGTTTAAAGCTCTCTACAAGCACTTGAGCTCATTTTCCCTGTGACCTGGCTGGGTGCAGCTTCTTGCTCTGCCCAAGCTGTTAAACCCCTCAAGCTTTCCTTTTGGGACTTCTTTTAGTGGCGTGACAGAGACAACCCTACCCCTGCTGCCAGAATGGAAGCTATCAAGAAAAAGATGCAGATGTTGAAGTTAGACAAGGAGAATGCCATTGACAGAGCAGAACAGGCTGAAACAGATAAGAAGGCAGCTGAGGACAAATGCAAACAGGTAAGAAGGAATAACCCCACGGGTTGTGCATGCACTGTGGAAATAAGTTTAACAAGATGGTGTTGCAACTTTCTGATTCAGGAAACGACATCATGTGAAGCCAGGTTTTCTGTTAAGCCTCTTTTGGAGTCTTTCTGCCTCTTTTTGATGTTAGGCTCATTCAGCCTGCCTGGGTATTAACTTCTCTTTTCAGCCAGCTGATTCTTTGCAAAATTAGCACTACTTGCAGATTATTGAGAGGGTTTTGTCTGAGTTTTCTTGAATCTGACACAATCACCTTAATTTTCTTTTGATTCCATGGACAAGGCATTACATAGTCAAAATCAAAGCTGTGTACCTTGAACACCTGTAGGACAAGCGTTAATACCTCCTGAAGAGGCAGCTGTGTCTAAATATTCACTGAGCCTCTCCTTGAAATGAGTTAGTGATGTTCATTGGGTAGAGCTGAGTATATAGAGTGCCCTGTAGAGGTGCCAGCTGTGACTCAACAGTGTTACTTGTTGTTAAGAATAATCAGACAGGTCTTAATTCAGAAGCCTTTAATTGAATTTTAGTGATATCGTTCTCCTTTTGCTTACCCATGTTCTTTATTCTGGGGGTCTACCTCCTGTTTGAGCCACAGCATTTTCAGAACGATCTCGAAATGTAAGCTGTTTCTTACAGTACTTCTCGTAAAATCCCCTTGTCTTTGCCTTGTGCATTCTCTAAATGTGGCTGCTTCTGCTACATCCTCCAGGCTACTATAATAAGTAGTATTCATTTGGCCAACTGTTTCTTATGTTCAAGTTTAGTTTGAGAGCCTGGATGATAGAACTAAACTTTCACCCGATACCCATTCGGCTAAAGCAACAGAAAAACATTTCCAGAGGGTCAGCTGCTGTCTTCCCCTTTGCCCCCAACATAAGGAAAGCTGCTTGCCTCCTCCATGTCTCTACAGGAAGGTGCTGCAAGCTGCACGCTTGTCACCCCACGTATATAGTCCCTATTTCTTTCCTAGCTTCAGAGGTGTTGATCAGATGCTGTTTCTGTTGGGCCTCTGTTCCACCCACTAATCTTCCTGCACTCAGTAACAGCCACAGCAGACTGTTCTTCAGAGCAGTTAATGGTGATTGAATGCTTAGCCTTCCTTTACATTTAGTCCTCAAACGTGATTTCCTACAGAGTGATAAATGACACACTTGTGGGACTTTTCAAGTATCTATATGAGGATAATTCACAATGAAGAGCTGAAAGAGAAAAATCAATCTTTGATCCTACCCCTCTTTTCTGAGTTGTCTCAAATCTTTCAGCTTTCTTTTTTTCACTCTATGGGCACAGTACTTGAGTAGTTTTTTAATGGCATGCACAAAGGCAGCATCAGCTCCTTCATCCTGCTCACTGTCCCGCTGTTAAAGCATCCAAGCAAGCACAGTCAGTTCTCTCACACTGTCTGGTTACTCTGAGTAAAAGTATAGCAACATCACAACAGTCAAGAATAGCACACTACCAAAAATGCCATTCAAGCTATCCTTGAAGCTAGAATGAAATCAGGCAGTGCACTCAAACACAAACTATTTTGAGTGAACTATTTTGATAGACTACATTTATGTGAAGGCAGAGCTAAATGGTTAAATGGGTTTCTCTCCAGACTGAAGTGTTTTGTATTGCAAATGAAATGATGGAGCAGATGGGTTTGCAGGCACACCCTTATCAGCAGCAAGCCTCCTGATAATGTAAATTCTTCAGGGAGCATGAGACAGTTTGTCATTAAACAGTCTCCTGGCAGGTTATAAATAGTTCCATTCTCGTGTTGTACTGCCTGGATTTATATGGTATGGAGGAGAAAGCTGGACTTTGCAGGAGGATGGGGCATACCTTGTTGGGCCCCAGTTAGTCAGGGAATAATTGAGGCTGGAAGGGACCTCTGGGGTCACCAAGTCCCACCTCCCACTTACAGCAGGGTCTGCTCCTGCCTGCTTCCAGAGCATCTCATTGGTCTTGAAGTGTCCTGGACAACATCAAACGATGATTAGGGAATGGCCAGTAGCTATACAGGAATTTCCTGATAAATCATCAGGTAGTGTTGGGACAAACACAAGGACTTCATTTAAAAACCTTTACAGTTACGCTGTAAAACTAACTGGTGCAGGGTGTTGAGTCCAAAACAGAAATGAGGTGAAAAAGGACTTATACCAAGTTATATATTAAACCAGGTCCTCTATGTGCTGTGGCAGGGAATGCTGCCCCAAGGATGGTATGTTTCCAGTGATCCTTCCCTGGCAACTGCTACAGGTCCTTCTCAAACTACTTGCCCCAGGAGAACTTTGATCT